AGCCTAGGTGATTAAAAAATCTAAAAAAAAAAGCCTGAGTTAATCACCTATAGTGAATAAAAAATAATTAATTTTTAATAAACAATCTAAAATAAATAAAAAACATTTAGTATTCAACAAGATTTTTTTCCATTATAACCGTAATATTAAAGACTTCCGATCTAGAGAAAATCTATATTTTATAAAAAAAAAACAATATCAAATAAAAAACTTAATAGACAACCGAATTTAATAAAAAACTAATCTAAAAGGGACGTAGCCACGTAGGTACAATGGAAAAAAATCTTGTTGAATACTAAATGTTTTTTATTTATTTTAGATTATTTTAGGTGATTAAAAAATCTATAAAAAAAAGCCTGAGTAAATCACCTATAGTTAATAAAAAATAATTAATTTTTAATAAATAATCTAAAATAAATAAAAAACATTTAGTATTCAACAAGATTTTTTTCCATTGTACCTACGTCCTACTTAGATTAGTTTTTTATTAAATACGGTTGTCTATTAAGTTTTTTATTTGATATTGTTTTTTTTTTATAAAATATAGATTTTCTCTAGATCGGAAGTCTTTAATATTACGGTTATAATGGAAAAAAATCTTGTTGAATACTAAATGTTTTTTATTTATTTTAGATTGTTTATTAAAAATTAATTATTTTTTATTCACTATAGGTGATTAACTCAGGCTTTTTTTTATAGATTTTTTAATCACCTAGGCTTTTTTATTTAATACAATTTTTTTCTATTCTACTTAGATTATTTTTATTGAATACAATTTTTTATCATGGTTTTTTTGTTTAATATAGATTCATTAATCAAATATAGATTTTTATTTAAAATAGATTATTTATTAAAAATTGATTGTTTTTTTATTAACTATAAGCATTCTACGAAGGATTTTTTTTAGATTTTGTATACAATCAAATTTTTTATTAAAAATTAGATTATATTTTATTCAACATAGATTTTTTATTAAGGTTTCTTGTCAAGATAGACTTTTTATTAGATTAAGATTTTTTCTATTCTACATACGTTATTTTTTTTATTGAATACAGTTTTTATTTATTATAGATTGTTTATTAAAAATTGATTTTTTTTTATTAACTAAATGTAATTTACTCAGGTTTTTTTATAGATTTTTTATTCAACTAGGCTTTTTTATTCAATCAAGATTATAATGGTAAGCTTGGAAAAATATTTAATTACAATATTGCGTATAACCTAAAAAAAAGCTTAGTTGAATAAAAAATGTATAAAAAAAACTTTAGTAAAATACCTGCAGTTAAAAAAAAAAATCTATTTTTAATATACAATCCATATTAAATAAAAAACTTAATAGACAACTGTATTTAATAAGAAAATATTCTAAGTACAATGGAAAATATCTTGATTGAATAAAAAATCTCTCTTGACAAAAAATGATTTTATTGTTTTTGGAGGGGAGGAAGGTCGTGCGAATTTTCAAACCGGGCGTGCGAATTCGTGCGAATTACGTGCTAAATGTCTGCAGAAGAAAATTTGCGAAAATGTTAATTTGGACCTCCGGGGGGGCTGGCGAAACGTTTTGCCAGCCCCCCCCCCCCCATGAATTTTTGTTTTTCTAGGGGAAGGAAGGTCGTGCGAATTTTCAAACCAGGCGTGCGAATACGTGCGAATCACGTGCTAAATATCTGCAAAAAAATAAATTGCGAAAATGTTGATTTAAACTATGGGGGGGCTGGCAAGACGTGTTGCTGGCCCCCCCCATGGATTTTGATTTTTGAGGGGGAAGGAGAGTCGTGTGAATTTCAAAACTAGGCGTGCGAATACGTGCGAATCACGTGCTAAATATCTGCAAAAAAAAAATTGCGAAAATGTTGATTTAAACTATGGGGGGGGCTGGCAAGACGTGTTGCTGGCCCCCCCATGGATTTTGATTTTTGAGGGGGAAGGAGAGTCGTGCGAATTTCAAAACTAGGCGTGCGAATACGTGCGAATTACGTGCTAAATATCGGCGCAATTCATTTATGGATTTTCAATTGGGGGGGGCTGGCCAAACGTACGTAGAATAGTGACTATAGTGAGTTTGAGGTATTAAAGTAATGAAAATTCAAAATGTATTACATTTAACTTATAGTACAATTTATAAAAATTTAAAGTGTAGGTTATAGTGTATTCAGTTCTGTAATAATATACCTACCTACTTGTAATTAGTACATATCCAGATACAGATATTTTACTTAAAACATACAAGTATAGTACAAATATACCTACGAGTGTCTTAAGTGACTTTAAATACAATTTTATACTTAAAATACAAACATTGGCAATCAAAAATAATAATTCAAATATTATTAGTAAATAATAATTAATAATAGTTATAAATTTATGATACCTACATCATATTTTAACAAAATAAAATAAAAATACATGTTCAATTGGCAAAACTATTATAACGACAATATATACCTAATATTAATTATTATAGACATAAAGATAGATTTAAAATATTATAATATTATATAGGCTATAGCAAGTTTTGTGAACAGGCGCTGTTCTAGAACTAAAATTAGGGGAGGGGTCATTTTTTTAATAGGACAAAAAAATAATAAACAATTAAAAAATAAAGAAAGTAAGTAAATTAGAACTTTATTAAATTATTGCTAAGCTGACGCTAACAATAATTCTTAAGGACCCGCATAATTTTGTCTCCGTCTTAAATATAAAAAGGTAGAATAAACTGTTTTTCGCGTTAAAGTACCGAGAAGGTTACAGGCATAACTATTATACTAAGAAACGACATTTTCAACATATACAAAGTAGAACTTTGGATGTGAAATATCGTTTTAAGTTTTCGATATCAGAACTACAAAAGAAGTGATTTTGAAACAATAATAACTTTTTTCGTATAAGTTATATTAAAAAACAAAATGTATACTACACAGATAGTGTTCTGAACTATATTGTATATCAATTTGGAGTCTTAGGTATCACTACAGCCTTCTTCTATCCCACACAAAACCGTTTTTGCTAAGTTGTACATTTGTAAGACTGAGAAAACAGGTAATTAATTGTTTAGTTTATTCAATTTTTTGTTTTATTAGTACCTACGAATTTATTTTCGAGAAACATAGTGATGGTCAGATTTTTTATCACGTTCATTGGTACTAGAAATATTATGCTCTCAATTATTTAATTAATTGTTGTGGTTCCAATGAATTGTAACGTTGTTTTATAGGGACCTGATAATTTAGGTATATTTATTTAATGGGCGTATTAGCCACGCGCCGAGGTCCGCAGGCCCACCGAGGTGCTGGGCTGTAGAAATTTGGGAACGTCGGGAGCATCTCCATCACTCAGGTACAGGCTGATGAAAGGATTGGGTTCATCAGTAACCCCCGGTAGGTTCCAGGACCTTCATAAGGCCCACCAGTCTGAAACGAGACTCTCTTATGTGTGCATCCTCTTATGATTGAGGAGGTGCTCCTCCCTTGTGAATCGTTTTCCACACGAATTACAACAAAATGGTCTAAGACCATAATGGCATTCTTCCTTGTACCTTCGCAGTTTGGTTTTATGTGTAAAAGAGACAAAATATTCCCCACATATATCGCACACAGACTCAGTGCGAGTGCCTTCAGGATCCTATTAAATATTAATTCAAAATATTCATTAGATATTCTCAAATTACATACATGGTATAGTTAAGAAAACTTCCTAAACTGTTGTGAACAGTGGGTTACAAGTGGGTCACTATAATGGAAGGTGTACAGTTTGAATTCAATGAAATAATATTATTGTATAAGAAAAACGAGTCTGTGCGAAGACGATCAGTCGTCAGGCAGCCTATTACTAAGTATATTTTATGATATTATTGTGATTAAATTAATTAAATTTGGAACCTTGTTTTAAAATGTCAATCCTTAGCTACAAAAGTTGAACATTTTATAATTGTTTTTACTACACAATCAATTTTAAATTTTGAATTTGATACATTTCGTCAAAATTTAAACTTTAAATGTTTATAATAAAAAAAATGTGTATATTATGTATTTTTAATATGTTTGAACTGCTATTGGCAAAACAAATTAACACTGGGACACTAGACACCTATAGTACTGATGGTTAGGCGGGTTCCCCCCTACGTCGAGTCAGAGATTGTATTTATTTTCCCGACATTTCGCATACATTTTGATTTAAGTGAAGTGTATTTGAATGTATTTGATAATATTAGTAGAAATTGTACTTACCAACGTACACAGTTAGCTATAAAAGCGTTTAAAGTTTCGATACCAAAATTAATTTATTATGAAAAGTAAAATAACAATATAAAATTATATCTATAAATTCTTAATATGCGGGTTGAGGATTATGCCACCAGAGCACGTATCGTTAGCTTGTTTTACCAATTGTGACAATATATCAGGAGCCTTGTACTACATACATCGCACCAGTCAAAATCTATAATTGCTCACAGCTAGTTAATATTCTCTAATCAAATTCGATAGTACATAAATTAATTTTCAATAATATTAACTATAAACAGAATGCACAAAGAATTCAGTAAAAAGATTTTCTGAATTAAAGGCCAAAAAGGGTAAAGCATTCGATTGAACTACCCATTTAAGTATTAAACATTAGTAATTTTTCAAGCTTTAATATTCGTACGGTATTAATTTGATTCTTTCACTGCGTTCCGTTCTACCTGAAGTTACGTATTATCTGAACACAATATTATTTAATTGCATAATGTTTAATATTGAGGCTCTGTCGATTGAGCTTAATAAATGGACGAAACCAATGCTTATTGAGTTTATTCTTAAAAGGCAACGCCATCGTCTATTAAGATTAGTGATGACTTGCAGTCAATGATTGATGCAATAAGTACAACGGCAGATGCGCAACATACCAGTTGTTCAATGGAGACTGCTAATATTCTGAAGTCTGTTGTTTCCGCACTTGATTCCATTTCTGCTAGTAACTTAAAATAGCATGATAAGTTAGACCTATTTATGGTCACATCAACTGGCTTCAGCTGGTACCAATGCAGGCATTGTTCCTAGTACTGCATCTACTCGTTTAGTTGACTTAGTGTTTAAGAAACCCTCTTTCCCATCGCTGGCCTCTAAACCTGCTGGTTCAGCGGTGCCACCCAAGTTCGTTGTTGGTACTAACAACAACACTTCACCTAGTTTTTCTGCAGTGCCTGTAGTTAAGTTTGCTGATGTTTTCGCCTCAAGTAATATTTCTTTCTGTTTTTATCAGAACTGTAGAGGCATTGGAACCAAACTTGAAAGCTTCAAATGTAATGTAGCTTTATTTAATTATATATTTGTTTGTTTAACAGAAACATGGCTGTGCGGCAGCTTTCATGATTATGAATTAGGTTTAAATAATTATATTGTTTTTAGGTGTGTTCGAAATTGTCTAACTAGTACTTACAGTAGAGGTGGTGGTGTCTTAATCGCCATTCGCAAAGATATCCAATGTGAGTTATTACCATATGTTATCAACAATGTTGAATATGTATTTGTTCAATTTCATGTGTACAATACAACCTTTGTTCTATGTTCTTTGTATATTCCACCTTCTAGTCCAGTTATTGTATATGATTATTTTGTTACTGCTGCTCAATCTGTTATTGATTCTCATACTGGATGCTTATTCATTATATGTGGTGACTTTAACTTACCTGATATATCATGGTCTAACGATGACTTTGGTCTTATATACTCTACTCCATCTGGTAATAGAGTTCAGTGTATTCCAGAACTGTTCTCATTTTACAACTTTTTTCAGCTGAACCAGGTATCAAATTTGCATGGAGGTATACTTGACCTAGTCTTCTCAAATGAAACGAGAGTACGAGACTATCTGTTGTTAAATCTGATGTTGTCATTGTTGCTTGCGAAACGTATCATCCTGAATTAGAAATCAAATTTGCCATTAACAGTGAACTACCTCTCGTTGATAATACTCATGAATACTTTGATTTTCGTCATGCTAATTATACTAAAAACTCTGCGTTTCTTAATTCGTTCAATTGGTTGGAAACTATTTGGTTACTGGATGTTAATTCTTCTTCTGATGCACTATATGATGCTTTGCATTTTTGTGTGTTCAATTTCGTCCCTAAAGTTACTTATACATCGTCTAAATTTCCGCATTGGTTTTCTAAAGATCTTAAGTCGATTGTTTTTTTTTAAAAAAGTCGCCAATGCTAAATTTAAAGCGTCGAGGTGTCCTTTAGACTATAATACAAATGTTTCATGTGGAAAGCAGTATGTATAAAGTTCCACCCAGAAAAATTATAACTAACTTGGTCAAAAATAAATACGAGATTTTATCCACATTAGTTAAATCCAAACTGAGTCTTGTAGATCATTTAAATTTAACATCGGATATTTGGACAGACACGCCATAGGCGTAATTTCGTTAAAATCAGGGGTTGCAAAACTAATCAGGAGAGTTACAAACATTCTACAAAATTGCAAAATACTGCTTGAAAATGTATTTACCACTTTTTCAATTCCAGTACCGTCGATCAAAATTGAACAGGGCTGGAAGTGGTTAAAGCTATTTCAAAAGGTGACTAAGTGACTGAGTATATTCATAAAAGTGACAAAAAAGTGACCTGCATACATTTGTTTCATAACAACTTACCAGTTATTAAACATTTGTCTTTGAATCTCTACATACCTATGATTTAATTGATTCTAACTTACTTAATTTTGTTGAAATTACAAAAAAATAACGATTATAATAAACACAAATTTTAATAGCAAATAATTAAATCATATTACCCATTTCAATTAATAATGTTTATAATATAGAATAATATTCAAAATCATTATTTAGGAACTTCCTTTATTTTAATCATAACTACAAAACATGCCTATGATTTGTTATGATAGGAATTCATCCCGGATGGTTTTTCAAATATAGTAGACTAATAAATATACGAAATTACTATAGATACTTATAATTTGATGTTTGATTAGAACATTACATAAAAACAAAGTTTTTGGTATAATAATATGTTATATGTATACCTGCCTATAAACGGGCCTTCTTAACAGCCGTAAGTCATAACACAAGAAAGAGGTGTACTTAATTATAATATTACATTTTTATTATTTTATAGCATTGTTATTATAATTATATATAGGTACTATAATTATATTTATTATTGATTATTGTATAACATTTTATTATTTTGGACTTGTATTAAATTAAATGTTATTATATTTTAATATGGGATTCAAGTAAGTAATTAACATTTGAGTTTACCATGTACGGTTGTTGCTGCATTGAACTCGTTGATTACAATTACAAAATCTATAACTCGATTTCCATCAATTTTGTAAGTTGTAACATAGCTATATTAGACAGCCATTCTTGTCCCATAGTTTTCTGAGGTAAGTTTTAAGCCTTCGTAATCAGGATAAACAAGACACAGTGTTTGTAGGTATTGTCATAAATAGTTTTAAAATTTTAGATAATAAAGAAAACCCATTTTTAATTTCACCTTGTTTCATATAATCTAATTTGTTTTGAAATACACTATTATTTGAGTTAGTTTATTTAGATTTGAACATTCTATTAAAGATATTTAGTTCTACTTGAAGTTCATGATTATCAAACTTATAGGTCTTACAAATAATGTCTATTGTCTAATAATGTTAACATTATTTTATAAATATTTAAAAAAAATGGCAAAATTATACATTATAAATATAGAAAATTTAGGGGGTGCAAAATGATAGTTATGTAATTTTAACACTTTTTATGAAATCGACTTTTTGTAATAAGGGCATAAGCGACGGCATTCTGTATCGATTGCTCTTACTCATTTATCGATACGATTATTATTTACGATATAAAACAATAATTTAGATTTAGACATAAGCGCCAAAAAATGTAAGTTAATTAGCAGGTCTGTGTATAAATAGGAAATAAGCGGAATTTAGTTTTAAATAGCGTCATAAGCGACATAGGATTTTAATTTTTGGGGCCTAAGCGACAATATCATGATTATAGTTAATAATAGATTTTATATAAAAAAAAACCATTATCTGTTATCTGTTCGATTGACAATAAATAATAATAATAAAAAAATAATACAAATAATACTTCGTAATCTTAAAAATGCAATATCGTATGAAGTTATTAACATTTTTATTCCAAAGAGAATATTATTTATCCACGTTTATATTAAAATAACATGTCATTTATTTATGATTAATGACTATAAATTATAATATTATTATCAATAAAAATTAACTACCTATGATGGACTATTTGTTTCTTATAATAATTATTAATTTTGCATGTGAATATTCGCACAATAAGAAGAAAATTAATAGGACTTAAGCGCCAAAATACTTGTACTAAAATTATAGGTAAGGAAATTAATGGGGTATAAGTACCAAATTATATAATAATACCCAATTCTAACTGATATAAATATTTAACTAAAAAAATGGAAGAACAATTGTATTCAACTCAAATTTTTTTAAATTAAAAATTTAATCTACAAAACCAATGTAATTATTGTTTAAAAAAATAATTTTTTGGCTCTCCTGAATAATTTCGAAAATGTCCCTTAAACAATTTTGCATTTTCGACATAGATATATGTATAATGTAATTATATGTATAAAACATTTGATGAATCAATGGTGAGCTAATGGTCCCTTAAACAAGATTAAGTAGCCCACGATTTCTCCATTAAATTTAATAATTATCGTAAAAAAGTATGTGTAAGTACCAATGATATAATAAATAAAAAAAATACATTGTTTACCATAATCATTGTTGTGTTATTTATTTACCTACATTAAATACCTTAATGGCTTAATCCTAACTCACTCAATTGACACTTATATTTCAACAATAGATATTAAATATTTGTATTGTATCAGATTCTCACTTATTATTAATGTAATATTTTCCATTATGTACTTTAGAACTATTTAATATTACTGCTAGTACACACTACATTACATCAAGAATGTTACTTCAATGAGGAGTAAAATGCGTTTATGACAGTATAAGGTCAACATTTAAAAAATATTAAGTTTCAAAATTTAAATTACTTTGTACAAGTACAAAAATAAATGCGTGAAAAAAAATTAACAAAAGTATACTGTACCAAAATAAGTAAGTTAGAATCTATTAAATTACATGTCACTTTTTGGTCACTTTTATGTTTAAATTCAGTTACTTAGCCACTTTTTTATATAGCTTTAAACACTTGCCCCTACCTATTACCCCTGCTTAGGTGGTAATTAAACATTAATAATTAACATATTTTTAACTAAGTTAAACATTTTCTTATAACTACAATTTTAGTGTTGAATAAATTGTTTATTAACTATTAACTTAACTAATATTTTTTCTCATCAATTTGTCCACTTTTGATAATGGCAAAATTCAATAAAGTTATTTACCTATTAGGTTCTTTTGTAGACTTTTGTCTACAAAAATTACTATAACAAATAATATACTGACTACTGAGACCTCTATAGTCTATACTCTATAGGAACCCAGTCATGCTAGTTAATTAAAATCAGTTTTGAAAATTGAATATACCTAAACTCTTTAAGTTAATAATTACTTACCTAGTAAATTAATTAAATCAATTTATGATTTTATTAACAAGTGTTTAATTACCAAATAATAAAGTATTTGAAAATTATTATACATGGTAACTATTTCTGAATGGATGTTGTATGTGGGCATTATACATATATGTTAAGTAAAAACATTTTAAATTTGGTAATTTATTCAATAAAATTTAAAAGAAATTTAAAAATTAAGGCATATCATCATTCCCCCTGTGACCAACTGGACCAACGGTCCATTGAAGTGGTGTGTTCCGTTGCTTTGATGTAGGCAATATAGGACTACAACACTTACATGTATACTCACTCCGAAATCAAGAGAGACTAAGGTAGAGAGTACTCGAACTGACATTAATGAGTATGGAAAACCTTTATATATAAATCAATATGAACTCGGGCGTCACAAGGGAGAGCTAGAACATGTCAAAAAGCACCATCTAGTTATTTAAAAAAATGTTATTTTAAGAATAGATTTTCCAAAAAATATTTATTTTTTTAATCAATTTTGTTCTTTCCGATTTAAATCGATTCACCGACATGAATCGCCCATCACTAGTTTGAACGCAGATGGTACGGTAATAACCAGCACCTCTGCATTGTTGGTGACCAAAAATAATTTTTCCCCGTGATTCTGTGAAGGAGAACCTTGTTTATTAGGTTTTTAAATTACGGTAATATATTGCTCATTAGCTGTCATTATACACTCATACAATATTTTTTCCACATACTGTAAACGTGTGTGAATTGTACTCAAAGTACAGTGCATAGGCACTAACGTTGCATATTATAATTGTGACTCAAGCAGGGAAAAAATGTATTATCTTAATATAATATTATGCCAAGGACAAAACGCCTGAAATTTGTAAACTCATTTTTTTGACAAGAATTAAACTGCAGATAAAATATCTGTTTACCCCTAAAATCATTTATTTATGTTACGAAAACTAAAGAACATATATTTTAGCTAACAGATTATATTCTTACAATAAATCAATTCAAACATACATTTAATTTTCAAAATGTCCAATAAGTTGGCTTTCTAATTGATAGACATTAACTTTTGATATAAGCTGAAGTGAGTGTTTATCATTCATGTAGAACTGACCAAGTCCATTGATAAATTGATATGTTACCGATACAGAAACTAATTCTCTGTAACCATCGTTGTCTATATCCATCACATTTACTAGAAACAATAAAAAAAATATATTAGATCATTAATATAAGTATATAACCTCATATGTATGATTGAAATCTAGTATTTTAATTTTAATAATCAATTAGTTCAATAATTGGTAATTATTTACAAAAATATTTATAAAAAAATTTGATTTGTTTGTAAATTAATAAAAATTATAGCAAATTATAACACCTACTTTATAGTTTATAAAAATTTAAAAAAATTACTTTTGCAACTTCAAGCCATATCCTCTAAATATATTATTTTTAGACAAAAACTATGTAGGTTTTTGATGCATCAACAGCCACATACTTTTTGTACACTATAACTGTAGCAAAATATCACAAATCTAATTCTATTTAATATTTAAGTTATCTATATAATATATTTAGTAGGATATATTTTTCTAGGAGTTATAAACATCAGTTGGGTAATGTAATTTATTTACTTAAAATTTATAAAAAAAGAAATATAAATTTAAAAACATTTTCAAGTTAATTTTTTCTTTATTAGAAACAATCAATCATAATATGTATATAGGAAATTGAGAATTATCCTTAAGGGGCATCGCTATGGCAATTTCTAATCTCGTCGTCGCCACCCGACATCTATGTGTTAGTCGTAAATGATTATTAGTGTGTGTGGTATCCATGCGGGTCAATTGTAGCGGCACCGAGGGCTCTTGCACACACTCGCATGCACATGTCAATATGTATATTGTGATCATGAAAAAATGTTTAGGTATTTATCATTCAAACATACGATTTTAATTCCAACAATACGTCATCTCAACGATTACCTCGATTTGTATTCTGACAAAATATTATTTTTTTTCACAACATGTACGAGGCACATTTTTAAAATTGTATTTAGTTAATTAAATATTTAAGTTGGAAATTCTGAATTTTTCGCAATTTTTTTAATTTTTATTGCAATTTAAATTACAAAAATTAAAAATGTGACACGATCGTTCCCTCGAATATATTACGGAAAATCAGAGTATTTTTGCATTATGAAAATCGTGATAATTGTCGACACGTATCGTTGGAATTGGAAACAGTAGTTTTTAATAAAAAACGACGTGATAGTGAGGCCCCTTAACTATCAAAATATTTTCGAATAATTTAGTTGAAACCCGAAGATATGTATGACAAAGTAGCTTGCCAAGTACTATACTTACATGAATATTTTTGATATTCTAGTTTTGGCTGACAGTTGGACACATTTTCACATACTTGTAAAATTCTCTTCGAACTTATGTTTTTAATGTAGAAATCTTCAGGTCTGGATGAATTATATGTAATAACTATAATTTGTTCTTGAATATATTCAACCTTTTCAATGTTAGTGAACTTAATATCATTCTAAAAAACAAGATGATAAAAACTTGTGTAATTATTACTATTCTTTAATGAAATACTAAATTATGGTCTTATGGCTTTTTACAAGATTTTTATTCATAACTAGATACAGAAAAATCTATATTAGTAAGACACTAGTTATATAACTAGCAACACACGCATCAACAAAAAAAGTCAGCCTCTGTAATAGTGTAATGGATAGTGTTAAATTATAGTTCAATGGTATAATATAATTTTATTCGAAAAATGATTCTGAGCGAAAACGTTCAGCCAGTATATGATGTAATACTAAGTATAATACATGATAATATTATTGTGAATAAAGTAATTTATTAACCTATTTACAAGGAACCTGTTTTAAATTTTAAATTTAATACATTTTGTCAAAATTCTAACTTAAATGCTTAAAAAAAAATTTGAGCCTATGTATTTCTAATATTTTTCATCTGCTATCGTAACAATATATCAGGAGCTTTGTATTACATTTTGACATTTTTTGACTGAAGAAATAATTTTATTGACATTAATAAAAAAAGAACAAAAAAATTGTAAATGTCTGTAAACAGCTCAAAATGAATAAATATATTTTGAAAATTTATAAACTATACGAACTGATAAAATAAACATATTATGGTGTAAATTTAAAGTTTCTACAATGATTTGTTTATTAATTACAGGAAAATAAGAAAATCGCTACATGAGAAATTGAGTGAATGTCCAATATTAATTTAAACTTCAAATGTTCATAAAAATTTAATTTGACTTTCAGGTAGACATTTTTCTTTTGATAATGGTAAACAAACTTATGAAAAATCTTGAATTACATTTTCAAATCTTAGATTTAAAAATAAAAATTTTTATGAATTTCTAACTCAAAATAAATTGAACGTTTTTGTGATTTTTAAGTATTTTGTCAAGCTTTGAACTTTAAAACAAATACAATTTTATTGACATTCATAAAAAAAAAGTAATTTCCTCCAAATTTGAACTTAAAATAACTATAAAAATAAACTATGTTTATGTATTTTTTTAGATTTTTTGGTAATAGAATTAACTACTTAAGTGGACCAACGTCTTAAATTTTTAATTCATAGCTAAAAAATTGAACATTTTATAAATTTTTAACTACATAATAATTAAATAATTAAATTTTAAATACGATAATTAACTTATATAACCTCATAACTCTGTCTACCTTTATCAAAAAAAAAAAATGTCTACAAGAAAGTCAAATTACATTTTTATGAGTGTTTGAAGTTTATATTTTTACAACATTGGATATTCACTAGAAATATCATGTAGCGATTTTCTTATTTTGTTGTAACTCAATAAACAATAACTGTTACAATTAAAAATTAATAATTAACATTTATGAGTGATTTTATGAGTACCATTACCTGGAGGCTGTAGTGATATTATATGGAAACACTTTGCCTTTCAAATAGATATTAATGGTAGGTACAGTGTTAAATAAGAAACAAGTTTACTATTGTCTGTTATTGAGCACAGTGATAATACTACTAATTTAAAATCACATCTGCCACGGTGTGCATCAAAAAATAGAATACAAATTATTTAAATTGTGTTAAAACTTTTAATAGTTTTATAAATTATATCGATATATCGTTTTTTGATATTGATATTGTGTGTATTTTAATATTGCAATATGATATTGATAAAAATGAACCGATATCGATAATTGAAAATATATTGTTGTGTATCACTACTGTTTAGTTTGTTAATCAACTTCCAAACACAATAATGACATTATAAGGAAAAATTAAATCACCTCAAATATCTAGTATTTTAATTCAAGCAAAAGTATCTATTGTCTCTCTATTATACATACATATAATGTACAAACATAATATATCTAAATATTGGATAAGCTAATAATGTTAAAATAACCAATGTTTTGGGAGTTAAATCTCAACTACAAACCACATCCATAAATTGTTTGTTCAAAAAAAATTTTGTTTGGGAAAGAAACACTTGGGCTTCAGCCTGACCAGGGTCTCTGGTCATGTTTGACCCCCACAGGCCCCAAGATTTATAAAATATTGTCAATTATTAACTGTCTTTTGTGCATGCGTATTTAGTCAATACCTAACATTGTATAGTAGTTGACTATAATTGTTGACTGAAGTAAAATATTAAAATGTTATATTATAATCACTTTTATTTTGGTGAATGAGTAAATTTAAACACTAAATACTATAAACAGAAATGTGAATACTTATAATTGATAATAACTTTGTTATCGTTGTTATGAGTATGGCATATACCAGCATAACCGTGAAAACTAAATGTCATTTTTAAAAAAATGTATTGACCGGTATTGTATACAACAAAGCAAGAATTCCGATAGGAACCTATAGCTAGTTAATTATAAAAGAGAAAAAGTATAAAATTAAAAAACAAAAAAAATCTTCGGTGGATAGGTTGGCACTGGGCTTCAGTCCGAGTTAAAAAAAAATGTATAAAATAAAAAGTAAAAACTTTGACCATGCAATATAATTTAAATTTTTATGATATCACTAATATGAGATAATAATAATTTTTGTTAATTTTATGTTTAAAAAACGTTTGTACATAATTTATTCACAAACATTTCACACCAAAAAATTAAACAAATTTAGTTTTATATCTATAACTGTAGCCTTCCTGATCCTTCTCACTTCACATCCGACATCCCTTTTCACAATTTGTGATCATGCTAATCTTCCAGCTATTTACATTTTAGGTTTAAATGTACTTTTAATAAATTAACTAAATATTATTTCCGGCGAGAAACTAATACAAACCAATTAAAAGCCTGAAGATGTTTTCTTAGAATGATAATTTTGTAAAAATATGTCACTCTGTTTTTTTGTAGGTTTTTAAAAGTATTGTGTGGTTAATATTATTTTATATTAACGGAAACCAGTTACCATGACCAATTTTGGGTCTGGTAACTACTTCCCGGTTTTAATTTTAAATTTTAAGAAGCGATTAATAATTAACGGTAACCACCAACTTCAATTAAGGGGTAGTTTGTAACAATAACCTTTTTTTAAAAAAACCAGTCAATTTAACAAAACCGGAAATATCAACAAAAAAAAAAACGGTTCATTAAAATTTTATAAAATTAGCGGTTATCAATTACCACTAATTCTGAAAACCCCTAAAACCAGTAACCACTTGCAAAAAAGTTTTTGATAACCAAATTTTTCATAAGCGGTTTCGTGCCCTGTTTTATATAATATACATTTTATAAACTTTAATTTTCTTCAAAATAAAAATTATGAAATTAATACTCAACTTTATCAATCACAATTTATTGGGTTTATCTTAATTAAAATATCAAAAAATAATTTCCACATAAAGTAAAATCTTTTTATACGATTGAAATACTACGACTATTCTTAGTAGACATAATTTATGAGGCTTTTAGATCTAAATTATGAAATGAATAATGTACAGTTTCCAATAATCTAAAAAATGGAATATGTGACATTCTCTTCAGTAAAAACATATTACATTATTGCCTATTTTATTTATTTATGTTTTACCTTATTTAATAAGATTAGGTAAATAGTAATTAAAAAAGTAAATACCTGATACATTATTAATTATTTGTTATTATTATAAATAAAGGAAGTCTCACCTCAATTGTTTCATTATCCCAAGACCAAATTTTGATAACAAATCCTGATATATTATTACGGAGTTCAAATGTCACTGGCTTCATTACATAAGAACGATCAATTTTTTTAGACCAAACTGTTTCTTTAGAACTATTTGTGACATACACAACTGCCATACAATCAGTTGGACAATTGTAATAGCTGTTATTGATCTTAAGATAATAAGGCCCAAGTGTTAGAAAATATTGATTTTCTTCAATTTGATCATGTTCTCGTTTGGTTTGGTGAACAGAATCTGGTATCCAATCACCAGAACAATTTAACATTGTTTTAATTGGAATTGATTCTAGAGGGTCTAAATGTATAATGTTATATATTATAATAAATGTTTGTAAAATATATTTAAACTAGGTATGCTGTATCAATGTACATACCTACAACAGTATTTTTACGACAAAAATAGACTAAAGACATATCATATTTTAAAATAAGATCAGTCATTTTAGTACAATTATCATTACTAATACTGCTCATTAATTTGTTTCCACTTTTTCCAGATAAAATATCTAATGTAGGCATATTATTTTCATGGTGCACAAAAGCCATTTCATTTACACCATCAGAATTGCAATCGGGTATAATTACAGGAAACTCCATGTACACTAAATCGTTTTTGTTATTTAGTTTAGTAATGTTTGATTCCGGTCGACTTTTCTTCCAAACAAGTTCACCTATTAAACAATTAACAAAGTAATAGTTTTTTTTTATGGTACAAAATAAATAACTTAAAATCTTGAATTCTCATCCAGTGCCGGATCTATGGTGGGGGGGGGGGAAAGTGGGTATTCTTGCGTCGGGCCCTGTTGGTATCAGGACGCTCTTAAGATTATGAAAAATAAAAAAATAAGATTTTTATTTTGTTGCAACAATAAATAAATAAATTTGTATTTTTTAGTAAAGAAATTTATACAATTTAGTATAGAATATTAAATAACTATTTGTATTATTTTTGCAGATAATTTTATAAGATCACTTAAGAGATTTTCTTTCATTTGTATGCTTACGGTGTGGGAAAAATTCTCAGTGCAATTGACAGAATTCATATAATTTTACAAAACCAAAATTAGCAATTGATGTAGCTGTCAAACATCTACAAAGTCTCCTTAACATATTAGAAAACTTTCGAGAGCAAGGTATAAATGAGGCTTTATTGGATTCAAAGAACAAAGCTGAAGTATTAGGCATAGAAACGGAATTTTCAAAAGACAGATTACGAAAAAAGAAACTTTTACCCGGATAAATTGCAAAAGATGAGTTTTGTAACATAAGTGAAGAAAAAAAATTTTTAATAATGATTAAAAATGTTATTGACAATATCTTAATAGGACCACTTCAAAGATTTAAATCAGCAATTTCAAATATTGCTCAAGATTTTTCATTTTTAAATCCAACAATAATTTATTCTTGGCCTATGAAAACTTGAAAAGAGCGGGAGTCGACTTTCTGCAATAAATATGAAAACGGCGTCAACAAAATTAAATTCATTTCAGAACTAGAGAGCTTTAAACAGCATGTTTACAACATAGATTACAATTTAAATAGAGCAACATATTTTGAAATGTTGAATTTTATTTAGAAAAATAAACTTCAAGATGCATATCCAGATATATCTGTTGCTTACCAAGTATATCTTACAATGCCAGTTACTTCAGCTTCGTGTGAACAAAGCTTTAGCAAATTGAAATTAATAAAAACATATTTAAGATCTACTACGGAGCAAACAAGACTTAATCACTCCGTATTTTCTCCGTAGAAAATAAAATTGAAAGACAAATCAATTATGAAGACATAATTAATGATTTAGCTGCAAAAAAAGCTAGAAAAGTTAATCTTTAAATCCTCAGAATATAATTTTTTTACTTAATTAAAATAATCAAGAGATTTTAGATTCTGAGTGGAACGATGAATGTATTGATTTTACAATGATGAATGATTTTTTTTAATTTTTTTTTATTTTTGTGTCTGTCATCACGTTTTAAGACAGTAAAAGTGCTTGGATTTTCTTCAACAGTATCTTTTCTAAAAGGAAAGTGAATCTAGTTGGTACTTTGGGGGGTCAAAAGTAAAAATGTCCTAGTAGTTTTCAAAAGCGCAGTGAAAAACAAAAGAAAAATTAAGGAAAAACGGGAATTTTTACTTGGGAATTGTTTTCGAAAAAATCGATTTTGGTTTTTGGTGTAACTTTAAAACAAATGACTGTAGATAAGTGAAATTTTCACTGGTTGTTTATATTTGCATTTTCTATACACGATAACATTTTCAAAATGTTTTGATTTATTTTGAACTCTTTAGGCACATTTTCATTTGCCAGTTTTTTTTAGGTTTTTTTCTAAAAATATCAATAAAATGTTATTTGTTGAAGCTTGAAAATTTAATACAAGGCTCCTACTATATTGTTACATTGGCATTTGAAAAATATTAAAAATACATAGGCACAATTTTGACAACTTTGACAAAATTACATAAAAAAAGGTGCTCTGCTGAACAGTAGGTTACAAGTGGGTCACTGTATAATGGATAGGATTAAATTTGAATTCAATGATATAATATCACTGTATAAGAAAAACGATTCTGAGCCGAGACGGTATGTCAGTCTAGGTATAAGACATATTATATACTTAAGTATCGTATTAAAAAAATTTACGTATAATAGGTGCCTATAATAAATTCCAAATTAATCATGTCACAATATCCATTAGGTACTTATAATGCGTTATACGTCAACAACAAACCCTGATACTATCATAGTCCATACTCCACAGATATATAATAGTGTACTTTAGAAGTTTCAAGTACCCACGCATAATATTATACAATCACAACAAAATAACTAAAATAGTTATTGTAGATTTTTCATTATGTAATTTCGTCCAAATTTGAACTTAAAATGACTAAAATTAAACTGTGCTTATGTATTTTTTAGATTTTTTGGTAACATAACTAACTACTTACGTGGAATCTTGTTTTAAATTTTCAACACTTAGATATAAAAGTTGAACATTTTTAACTACAAAACAATTATTCAATTTTAAATTTGATAAATTTTGTCAAAAATCGATCTTTAAATGCTTATAAAAAAAACTGTGCCTATGTATTTTTAATATTTTTCAACTGCTATTATAACCATATATCAGGAGCCTTGTATTAAATTTTTACATTTTTTGGCCCAACAGATAAAACTTAATTGATATTTATTGAAAAAAAAACTAAAAAAAATTGAAAGCTGTAAATGTCCGTAAACAGCTCAAAAGAGTCAAAATATTTTCAAATTGTATGGTGTATAGGAAATGCTAATATAAACATTCCGTGAAATTTTCATGTATCTACAGTTATTTGTTTTCCAATTACAACAAAATAAGGAAATTGCTACATGAGAAATCGAGTGAATATCCAATGTTGTAAAAATTTGAATTTCAAACGCTCATAAAAATTTTATTTGACTTTCTTATAGTCATTTTTTTTTTGATAAAGGTAGATAATATTATAAGAAATCTTGTATTCCATTTTCAAATCTTAGATTTAAAAAGAAAAATTTTTACGAATTCTTAACTCAAAATAATTTGCTAATTTTCGTGATTTTTCCATATTTTGTCAATTTTTGAACTTTAAATGCTTATAAAAAAACATTGTGACTTAGGATTTTTAATATTTTTCATCTGCCTTTGAAGCAATATACTAGTAGTCTTCCATTAAATTTTTAAGCTTTCACAACCAACAAACAAAATTGTATTGATATATTTAGAAAAAAACTAAAAAAAAATGGAAAATGAAAATGTCCAAAAACAGTTCAAAATAAATCAAAATATTTTGAAAATGTTATCGTGTATAGAAAATGCAAATATAAACAACCAGTTATGTTCATTAGTTTTAGAGTTACACCAAAATCGATTTTGTGGAAAACTGATTTTGCCTAAAAATTCCCATTTTTCCTTATTTTAGATTCTGAGTGAAACGATGAATGTATTGATTTTACAATGATGTGTGTTTTTTTATTTTTTTTTTTATTTTTTTTTTATTTTTTTTTATTTTTTATTTTTTTTTGTGTCTGTCATCACGTTTTAGGACAGTAAAAGTGCTTGGATTTTCTTCATCAGTAGCTTTTCTGATAGGAAAGTGAATCTAGTTGGTACTTTGGGGGTCAAAAGTATAAATTTCCCAGTAGTTTTCACAAGCGAAGGGAAAAACAACATAAAAATTAAGGAAAAACGGGAATTTTTACGCAAAATTGGTTTTCCAAAAAATCGATTTTGGTTTTTGGTGTAACTCTGAAACAAATGAACGTATATACATGAAATTTTCACTGGTTGTTTATATTTGCATTTTCTATACACGATAACATTTTCAAAATATTTTGATTTATTTTGAACTGTTTAGGGACATTTTCATTTTCCATTTTTTTTAGTTTTTTTTCTAAAAATATCAATAAAATTTTATTTGTTGGTTGCGAAAGCTTGAAAATTTAATAGAAGGCTCCTAATATATTGCTTCAAAGGCAGATGAAAAATATTAAAAATCCTTAGTCACAATTTTTTTTTATAAGCATTTAAAGTTCAAAAATTGACAAAATATGGGAAAATCACGAAAATTAGCAAATTATTTTGAGTTAAGAATTCGTAAAAATTTTTCTTTTTAAATCTAAGATTTGAAAATTAAACACAAGATTCCTTATAAGTTTGTCTACCTTTATCAAAAGAAAATGTTTATAAAAAGTCAAATTAAATTTTTATGAGCGTTTGAAATTCAAATTTTTACAACATTGAATATTCACTCGATTTCCCATGTAGCGATTTCCTTATTTTGTTGTAATTCAAAAACAAATAACTGTAGATACATGAAAATTTCACTGAATGTTTAAATTAGCATTTTCTATACACCATACAATTTTGAAAATATTTTGACTCTTTTTGAGCTGTTTATGGACATTTACAGCTTTCAATTTTTTTTAGTTTTTTTTTCTATAAATATCAATAAAGTTTTATCTGTTGGGCCAAAAAGTGTAAAAATTTAATACAAGGCTCCTGATATATTGTTATAATATCAGTTGAAAAATATTAAAAATACATAGGCACAGTTTTTTTTTATAAGCATTAAAGATCAAATTTTGACAAAATTTATCAAAATCTCGAAAATTATCAATCATTGTAATTAATAAATTATAAAATGTTCAGTTTTTATAGCTAAGGATTGCAAATTCAACACAAAGGTTCTCGTAAATAGTTCATACTGTAACCAAAAAATCTAAAAAATATATGAACACAGTTATTTTTTACAGACATTTTAAATTCAAATTTGGACGAAATTACATATTAAAAAACCTAGAATAACTATTTTAGTTATTTTGTTGTGATTGAATAATATTATTCGTGGATACTTGAAACTTCTAAAGTGTACTATTATATATCTATGATAGTATCACGGTTTTTGTTGATGTATAACGCGTTATAAGTACCTAATGGATATTTTGATATGATTAATTTGGAATTTATTATAGGTACCCATTATAGGTCAATTTTTTGTTTAATACCATAGATATGTATATAATATGTCTTATACATAGACTGACATACCGTCTGCGCTCAGAATCGTTTTTCTTATAC